TGTGTGTGTATGTGTGTGTGTGTGTGTGTGTGTGTACGTGTGTGTGGGTGTCTCTCTCTCTTTCTCCCTCCCTCTTTCTTTCTCCGTGTACATGCATAATTTCTCGTATCATGCATCTGCGTCTTCCAAGGCCACGGTTGAGAACCACCTAGTAACAAAGCACAGATCCTAGACATTAATCACGAAAGCTACAGTGACAACGGTATCAATATCATAGTGGCAGTCCGAGATATTTATCTCCCCTTGCCCTCCCGTGCACAGTCCCAGTGCTAAAGAACCTTCTGTATCGCCCACCCGGGACAAAAGTCATCCAATAACGATATTGCCCTGTACACTGTCTACATAACGGTGTGGGGAACAAGAACAAATCTTTCTTCTTATTCTAGATCATCTTAGTTCTTATTCTTCTTGTACTTGTTCTTTCGTTCTTGCCCCGGGACTTTGCCGACGGGGTTGTGAAAAAAGAACTGAGAGAAAGATTCAATACGTCCACGAAAGAATAACAAGAACATTGTTTCCGAACTAACCTCCCCCCCCTCCCCCCTTTCAAAAAAAAAAACAGCTACAACAACGACGACAACAACAACAACAACGACGACGACGACGACAAAAACAACAACAACAAACAACAAAAACAACAACAAAACAACAACAACAAAAACAGCAACAAAAACAACAGCAGCAACAGCAACAACAAAAACAACAACTACTACTAAAACAACAACAACAACAACAACAACAAAAACAACAACAACAACAACAACAACAAGCCCCCAACAAAATAAAATAAAGACAGCCAAACACTCCTATACGGGAATCTCCCAACAACAGCTGACGTCCAGAAACTGTTGGCCACATGCTCAAATCAGAAATAATATATCCACTCAAAAACGGCATGTTGTGCGTAAATCGGCTATTTCGCTATTCTAATCCTACCACTGCTGTCTGAAGGCCTAATATCACCACTTGCAATAAACTGCCCGCTGTTTTCCTGAGCGAATAAGACGGATTGCTCAATTCTCGTGCATTCATCGACCGATGTTATAATCCATCCAGAATAACGCCCCCTCCCTCAACAATAATTTACGGCCGAAAATCTACAAAGTGGTCTCCGGCTCAAGTAAAGTACCCGCCGGCTTCTCAGACACAATTTTCACACCCTTCAGACTTTTCGCGCCGTTCATCTCTTTACGGCCTGAAGGGGAAAATAAGTCCTCTGGGCCATTTCTCCTCACGCACTGCGAAAAGCGACGTGAGCCTAAAAAAACGATATCAATCTTCATAAACAGAACACAAAACCCGCCTCACGCCTCAATGGCTGGACCGGCATTAAACTCTCAGTGCTCTACAACTCTTTTTACTGTTTGCTTCTTTTCTTTTTTTTTAGGTTTATGCCATAGTTATCGTTGTAATCACAACGTGTTCACCTCTTTGCGAATGTTCCATCACTGCGACGTCCAGGACAAATTGTGACGTAATTCTGTTCAGCTAGAGACGTGAATGGCCAGTAAACGGAGATATTTGTTGATTAATTTAAAAGTCTAACGCCCTTCCAGACATAAACAGGGCATTTCGAAGGCGGAACACTTGGCCTAGTGGCTGTGATGAATGCGAAACAAAGAGAAAGGATAAAAGACAGGGTAATAAACTGAAACTAAGTGCCCACGGTATTTAATCAGTGTCAACGTTTAAGTTTACTATGGCACTATTTGAAGCGCTGTGAATCCTGCTCGTTCACGTGTCTATTCATTGACTCTAGCCCCAATCGTTAGGCGGGATATTTTTATTTATCCAGGGTAAGTGGATGGGGTAAACTGAGAAAAAGAGGCCACTGAGGTACTAGCTACAGAAATGTCTTCGAGTCTATAAACAAACACTTTTTTGGGGAAGTTTCTCTGATGTTATTATTAACAAGTAAGTAAATCTTAATGTTCCCAGCGATGAGTCCCAGCGCTTGATAGAAGTTTGCATTCCACAAAAATCACTCAATTTAATGCCTTGCCCTTATACATCGAGCAGATAATTTCCAGTGACAGCGTCTTATTACATTAGGCACTTGCAGGTTGGGAATTTCTCGAAGACATTTTTTTCTCATACCGACTCAGCTCAAATCCAGCCCACTCAACAGCAACTTCTTATTGGATGTTAATTATCTATTCTTTTACCTCTTTTTCTTTATCTGACCAACTCTTTTGGATTCTGAGTTAGTTTGTTTTTGTTCTGAATAAGAGCATGTCTGAATACATGCATAATAATATGTGCGAGTATGTGTGTGAGGGTGTGTGTTCATGTGTGTGTGTGTGTGTGTGAGTGATAGAGAGAGAGAAAGACAGAAAGACAGAAAGAGAGAAAGAGAAGAGGAAGAGAGAGAGAGACAAAGAGAGAGAGAGAGAAAGAGAGAGAAAGAGAAAGAGAGAGAGAGAGAGAGAGA